CAGGCCAAAAACTGGCAACCTCTATCAGTCTGTCGAAAAGTAATGGACGACTTCCCACGCAGTCAACAATGCCCATCTTAGAGGTGGGAACCCAGATTTCTATAATCACATCCATCCCTCGCCCACGTTGGAATCTAAAGAAAGCCATTTGGAGCAGCTTTTCTGCGGAACTGGACAAGACTCTACTCTGGTTACCCCTACCATAAGAAATTACAAAAGATTCATTGGAGCCGTAACAAGCACGGCCAAAAATCATATACCAAGAGGCTACCGAAAAGAATACATTTGTGAAAACTGTAGAAAGTCTTAATTTTTAAACATCAAGTAGGCAAGCATGGACACTACTAAGAAAATTAGGAAGCGCAACTCCCATAACAAGGAACAAAACAACAATTAACCCAGACACTATTGCCTCATATCTGGTATCGACATCTAGGGCCCCGAAAGAAAAGCCACACACAATCAAGGTAAAACGAGAGCTCAAAACTTTAAAATTCCAATTTACAGAAACCGAATACTCTCGCCCTTTCACTTGCGAAGAAGTCACCATAGCTCTCAAGCATGTAAAACCAGGTAAAGCCCCAGGTTTTGACAGTATTCATCCCAAATTCTTGATTAACAGCGGCAAATATGCGAGAGAATGGATGGCCCACTTTTTCAGAGATATTATGAAGACCGATACCATACCACAGGAATTCAAACGCTATTTAGTCCAAAGCTACTTGAATTAACACCGGTTGATCAAGCAGGTTTCTGACCAAAAAGAAGCTGCGCAGATCTTTCACTTACCGCATTAATTGAAGCAGGGTTCCAGTGAAAACTTAAAACTGCAGCCGCCATTCATAGACCTAACAGCAGCCTACGATACAGTCTGGAGAGAAGTTATAATATACAAGCTCCTCCGTATTATCTCCTGTAAATCCACCGCTCGAATAATCAACAGCATGGCAGCCCACCGAACGATTCAAGTAGTCATGGGAACCGACATCAGCACCCCAAGAAAACTGAAGAATGGACTGCCTCAGGAATCAGGGATCTGTCCTAGCTCCTCTTGTCTTTAGGCTGTACATCGCTGATATACCAGAAACCAGATCAAGGAAGTTTGGTTACGCCGATGACTGGGTCCTTGCAACAAGGTGTAAGTCAATTGAACAAACAGAAGAAATCCTTACGGCGGCAGACTTACACACAGTGGAAAAGTATTTCCGTAAATGGAGGCTCCAACCAAACGCTACCAAAACAGAGGTTTCCAGTTTTCATCTAAATAACAAGCTTGCAGGAAGAACATTGAACGTCCAATTCAAAAACACCACACTGGCCTAAAATAAAACACCAAAGTACCTTGAAGTAACTCTTGATAGAACCCTATCTTTCACGAAACATCTGTCAAAAACAGGAAAAACTTAAATCCAGAAACAACATCATCCAGAAGCTGTGCGGCACAACATGGGGAGCATCGGCTTACATCTTGCGATCATCTGCCCAGGTCCTTGTCTTCTCAACCGCGGAATACTGCTCTTCAGCCTAGCTTAACAGCCCACATATACACAAAGTAGATGTCCAATTGAACAATACAATGAGAATGATTGCTGGAGCTATCAAATCCACCCCTATGCAATGGCTCCGAGTAGTGAGCCATATTTCACCAACCAAACTACTACGTATACACTCTCTCATTAGTGAGGACCAAAAGATACTTGGTAACGAGATCCTGCCAATTCATCAAGATATAGATGCTGCCAACCTAAAAAGTTTACCACTTTTAACCCCGGGCTTCCCCCCAAAAACCCTCTCGTAGACTGGTAAAAACTCAAAAAATCAATTTACCAAGAACCTGTACGCCGTAGAAAAAATGTTTCAAATAAAAAATGTAGCTGGAATAATTATAAACAAAAATGTTTATTAGCACTTTTTTGTAAAATGAACCATTCTCTCAGAAACACCGCTGGAAGCGACCGGCGATTTTGAATGTCAGTTGCGCGCCCGAAATCAATGCCTGTGGGTAAAAGTGGTAAACATTTTTGCATCTTTTTGGCATCCTAAAATTGGCATTCTCGGCAAAATTTAGCTCTGACGACTAGAGTATTTATATCTGTACCTCAAAATAAAACTGTATCAAGTCCAATTTTAAGCAAAACGGGATTATTGATGAAATTGACTTAGAATTAAGTCCTCTTTCATATGGTACTAAGATCTAAGCTCAATCTCTAATATTAACAGAGATAGCTAATTTTAAACGATATTAAGTCCTTGTGTCTTTTGGGAGAAAAGAATATCAAATTTAACAGTACAGTCCTTAGTTTGGTGTTTTTAGTAAAGACAATATTAAGTCCAAGTTTATTTTTAAGTTGAAATTAAGTCCATACTTTCCCCTCACATTAATGCGCAACACTGTGTTGCTAGGTTGCACAAGAGACTGCAAGTCCCTAGGTTCCAACAAGCGGCCAAGGGAAAAACGGTTAGAACTGATTCTGTCCAACTCTTTGCACATGTTTACCGACGATTTCTGACTAATAGTTTGAGTTTGACTGTTTGTAGGAACAGACGTTAGTTCAAAGAGTAAAGTTTTCAGACTAGTTTTTAAAGAGATTTCAGTACATTTTCATTTTAAAAATGAGTGGCAGATCACAGAGAATTATTTCATTAGTGAATAAAGATGAATATAAAAATTTTTGAGCAAGAAAGAAAACAACATAAATGCTGCTTTTTGGGATGCATCCAAAGACATAAACCATAAACGTCAGTTTATATCATCGCATATCCAATTGGTACAAACGTTTAGAAAAAGATGTAGAACTGGTGCAAGAATGAATTTTAGAGCTCACACACAACAGTATTATTTAGACAAAAATAATTCCGTGGTACGTGTGTGCAAAATATTTTTTGTTAACACTCTGCATATTTCACAAAATTTTGTGACCACATCTTTGGATAAAAAACAAGCAGAAGCTATAATTGCTGTGGATGAAAGGGGGAAGCATAAAAACCATGTTAAGGTATGTACCTGAAGTTGTGAAACAAGAAGTTCGTGATCATATTATGAAATTCTCTGTTGAACAATCACATTATACGCGAGAAAGACCGAGCAGAAAATACCTGAAAAGTTACCTTACTATTGCAAAAATGTATAGAATTTATAAAGCACAGTGTAAAGAAAAAATACACATGAAATCTGATTGCCAAAGAATGGTTGTAGAGTTACATTTTTAACACAGAGTTCAATTACTTCTTCAAGTCTCTAGATAATGATACTTGCGATCAATGTGACTCATTTTTAGTGAAGCTACGTGAAGAACAAAATGATGTTGAAGAGGAATCTCTACAAGCCAAATATAATGAACATTTGGAAAAAGCAACAAAAAGATACTCTTTAAAGAAATATTAAATTTGCACAAAACAACAAAATTCTAAAACAAGTATGATATGCGTCGATTTACAAAAATGCCTCACAACACCAGTGTTAACCAACGCGCAAAGCTCTTACTCTTTAAAACTTTGGACGTATAATTACACAATTTATGATGCCACTAATAATGCTACTACTTGTTTGATGTGGGACTAGTCCAAATAAGGACGCGGTGCAAATGAAATGGCATCAAGATTGCTAAAGTGGACATTATCACATGTTAAACCTCACAAAAAAAAATATTATTGTATGGTCTGATAACTGTCCATCTCAAAATCGAAATATTCGAACAATCAAACATACACAATGTTATAGTTATAGCTTATTTTTATATATTAAAAAAAATTCCAACGTTGAAAACCATTACACATAAATTCTTATTGCGTACTCACTTAAAAGTTGATGCTTGCCATTCATTAATAGAATGCGAAGAAAAGAAGAGTGCTGGTTTTCAAATCATGTCTCCCTGGAACTGGCAACAATTAGCTAAAATGTGTAGAATAACTAATCCGTTCGAGGTGACTAATATGGAGACAAGCGATTTCAAAATTTTAAGCAATTATATAGCAACATCACGTCTCCATTTTTGTCTAGACAAAAAATGTGGATGGCATGGATTTCTCATTATCAAAAATGGTATATGTACAAATAAGGGGAGAAAAGTATGGAACACTGTACTATAAAACTAATTTTCAAGAAAAGGAATTTCAGGCAGTCAATTTAATTCGAACTTGAAGGAGAGTCGTATTTCCTGAGGAAATACAAACTGTAAGGGATGATGATAATCCAATCTCCAAAAAACAATACAAACATCTTTAGACATTATTAAAACGGGTTCCAAAGCATTTCCATGATTTTTATGTCAACCTAAAGCATAGCAGCATACATGAAGATGATGATAACCATACCCAATAATTTGTGTTCATTAGTTGGAACTTACATTGAATAACTACAATATTAGTTTCATATTTTCTATTAAAGCTTTTTTATCAATAAAAATTGTTATTTTATTTTGTGCTTTGTTAAAATAATAACCATAACTTGTTTGGAGCTAACTTTGGAATTGTAACATAACATTTATGCTTATAATGTTAAGTCCTTAAAATTGACTTGGTATTAATACAAAATTGTATTATGTCCAAAACCAAAAAAATGATGAATTTTTGACAAATCACTATTTGAATTTCGTGCTTTAATTACTTGAAATTCAGTAGTTGATAGATCATAGATTCCAAAAAAAATGGGTGTCACAGAGGAAGAAAAATACTAGACCTTAACTTAAAACCTGCACATTGATCAACTTCAAACCGCTCTCCTGAAAAATCGACATTTTGGACCTAGTACACTTTTATTCTGGGGTACAGATATATAGTTAGTTTATAAGGCAGATATTAACTTCAACCACTATCCTTTATTGATAACTTTAACTTATAGACGGCTGAAAATTTCAAAAAGTAAATTTCATCTCAGACTGCCTATTGTAAGAATCGTGCATAAAATCTGGTATGTATCAAGAGTGTGGTAAGAATTTATAGCTGTTAAAATCATAAAGTTCTACTGTTTGCTATCAATACTTATATCACACCCTCGATAACTATTCTTCTTCACAGTTATTATATCTTACCTTGTCTACTAATTTTTCACTCTCCAATCTAGCCAGTTGTTCAGCCCTCATTAATATGGTCTCGGTGTGAAGGTCAATTCCCAGATCTTGGGAAATCTCATTCATGTTCAATGCTCTTGCAAGACGTTCAAGAAAATTGACAAACTGAAACAGTTATTATTATTCCAATAGTTGTTAATTAGCACAAAATTGGAATTCATAAAAATTAAAAACATTTTAGCCTTAAATTATAACACTATAATACAGTATAATTTGTTATCATAAGTGCTACCGGTAAACGTAAGTACCATTTCATCTATTTTACATTAAAACGACTCTGACTAGCTATATGTGATTATTTTCCAGTGGTACATCTAAGTCTGGTCTTAAACAACACTATTTCATTGGTTTTATTTACTATCATGAGATATGTAGTGAGGATTCTTCATTTGTTTGTATTAGTTTTATGGCATTTTAGTCAGGGCTGAAAGTTCTTTCTTCAAAGTGTATTTTTAATTGTTGAAATAACGTCTATGGTGTTTTGTTTATAAAAAATGGCAGGGTAAGTAAGTTTTTTGTTTAACGTATTAATATTTTTAAATGGTTTTGAATATTTAGTCTCTAAAAATGACATTTGTTTCATTGAAACTTGAGACTACCGTTCGGCATAATTGTAATATATTTTTTTCATTACAGACATTAAAAAAGTGTTTGACTGATGCAAAATTGTTAAAACATAGAAAATCATGATTTTTATGATTTTTTTCCTCCATTAGATAATGCAGAAGATACTGATGTTGAATTAGATGTCGATGATGAGCTGAATATTTCTGCCGCTGGAATAGATTTACAAATAAATTGAGAAGAAATGGCAAATAATGAATACCCTAAATTAGTTTCTGATAACCAGTCTAACCAATCTAACGAACGACAAATTCACGAACCTAATGAACATCAAGATCAAGAGCCTGATAACTACATGGAACCTGAATGTCCAGAAAGAAAATGGAGTAAATAGGAAAAAACCATAGAAATTCCTCAATATACATAAGCTGCCTGTATTTGGAAAGAAGTTTATTTTAGAGAATATGAGACCCCTTAGATATTTTTGTTAAGCTTTAGAATATAACATAGAAAGATATAACTTAGCAGAATAACCTTATGCCACACAAAAGTAAAAACAACTAAATATGTCCAAGTAAGAACTCTTAATGGGTTACCATATAGTTCCTGGAGTCTGAAATTATTAATCAAGTCAAGAAGATCTATATGTTTTATTTGGTGCAGAAACTATGCCTAGGAATGAGTTTTAGACCATTTTAAGATATTTCCATGTAAAACCAAAATATAATATCGATCGGATTTATAAAATTAAACCTTTGTTGCACTGTCTCCAATCTCAATTGTAAAATGTTGGTGCCGATCATCTATTAAACAATATAATCCTATGACACCGATAAAAAGAGGGTATAAGCTCTGGTGTTATTCTGGCGTGAATGACTTTGTTAAAAAATTTCAAGTGTTCAAGGCAAAAATGAAAAAATTTAAAAAAAAATACTCCAAATGTACTTTAGGTGAACGAGTTGTTTTATCTTTGACAGAAGTCATAGTGGGGAAAAAAATTATTTTTTTTGGATAAGTTTTACACCACTATAAAACTACTGGAGAAACTGAAAGCTGAAACTACTTTAGCCTATAATTACTATTTAAATGGGAATAAGGCACAATTAAAGGTTAAAGTAAGTTTATTGACGTTTCAATTTCCACTTCGGAAATCGTTCTTCATAAAAATTGAACGTCAATAAACTTACTTTAACCTTTAAGTGTGACTTATTCCCATTTAAATAGTAGTTAATTTAAAATGCCACAAGAAAATAGCTTCAGAACAAGCTGAGGGAATATCTGGATATTAAATTTTATCTATCTCTGTCTCATCCTGTCAAGGGATTCTTGGACGTCAGCCTTCCAATCGATAGTTCTCGTAAAACGAACTACCAATCAGAGAACTGAGTTCCTGAGAACGAGGTCTTCTCCCAAAAGTGTTATCCGGCCCCGGAGGTAACGACCGTAAGGAGATTTAAAAAGTATGGCTTGGGTTTTGGATGGGTTTATAGTAACTCTCCATTTGTTGCACCACTTCACGACCTTGTCAAGGTAGGTTTGCGATCTATCGAATACAGGCCGTCGCTCACCCTCTCTGTGGGAGCCTGAAATGAGAATGGCCAACGGTATCATCAGCGAATAGGAAGAGAGACTCTGATGCTTGCTGTGGGCGGGGAATGTCGCTATTATATACTGTGTAAAGTGTTGGAGCAAGTATTGAGCCTTACGGCACTCCAGTTAGTGAAGTGAAGGGGGTGGATAGATGGTCAGCTACTTTGATCCTAACCGTCCGATGGGAGAGATAGGAATTTATTAATTAGGTGTTGGCAGTCCAGCAATATGGAGTTTCTCAATCAGGCCTGTGTGCCAGACCTGATTGAAGGCCTTTTGGACGTCGAGGAATATGCTTACGACGTGTTTCCTTTCGTTAATGGATTGTGAAATGAAGGTTGTTGCTTCAACCAATGCATTTTGTGTGGAGTGTCCAGCCCTGAATCCAAATTGGTAGTTTGGAATTCAGAAGTGAGCGTCTAGGAATTCTACGAGGCTCTCCTTGAGGAACTAACAAAAAAACACCATTTTGCATTCTAGTCGTAAATTGGTTGTAAACTAGAGTTATTATAAAATTAATTTTATTGGTCCAAAACCTAATGAGATGTTAATTAAAATGTAGTTAAAAAAAGCAAAATATAAAAGATAATAAAAAATAGTAAAGCAAATAATATTGGATATTTCATTGTATAGTATTTTGAACTCGGTATTTACAGTGAATATTTTAAATTTAATTTCGAATATTAAAATTACCCCGTGAATATCTGAAATACATCGAATCTCATCAGTTATTCCATGTTATTGTTGTGTGTTGTAATTCAATTTTATTTGTAACATTAGCATATTCCTAACAAATGTATATTGACTTTGTATGCCAATAAATTAATAAACAATCGTCCCATTCAAATATTTCGGAACGCACAAAGTGCCAGGCACATTTGTAGTCAATGTCAGACCTAATATAATAATAAAGGGAAATCAATTCGATATGCTTTGTGTTATGTTAGTTGTTGGTCGGCTATAGACAGAAAGTTATAAAAAACAAAGGCATATTAGAAAAAGCGATGCATTTTAATTGTGGAAACATGCTGTAAGGGAATTTAAAAAGTTATTCACTAGATATTGTAACAAAAATGCTTTGTGCGCCAATGTAACAAAAAATGTGTGAGGAATGTAAAAAATGTTTGGGTAATGGAAAAGATAACATATAATTTAAAGCTGGCTAGCAGAAGTTGAAGGCAAAAGAAGTAGAGGTAGATCTCCTACACGATACACGGACCATATTGTTGCTACCATTGGCGCTCCATTTTCAGAATGTGCTAGATTGGCAGAAGATAGAAAAACGTGAAGGAACATTGAAAAAATTACCTAACAGCTTCATGATATCACGATACATGCATCAGGTTAACGACTAAGAAGAAGCAGAAGTTGCCGGAGAGTGACTACTTGACACTCAAAAGAGGATTCGGCCAATTTGCATGCCCTACAGAGACCGTAGAATAAGAAAATGAATGACAAAGTAACAAACAATCTATATGTATATAACTAAGATAAATAAAAGTGATTATAGAAGTTACTCCTAAATGTGAGTGGGCTCTAGGAAAGTATTTACATAAACTTTCCAAGGTATCTTCCAAAGCTGTTTGCTGAAATAAAGAGAGAAACAGGCATTAATTGAAATATTTAGTTTTCACCAAAAATTTAATCCCTATCCAATATATACAATCTAAATTTACCCTAAAATACCCACCACCAATTATGTACAGTTAATCTAGTTACTTATATAAAAAATAATAAAAATACCCGGGTTACACACAACTGATCCTTGATAATCTGAATTTATAAATTATAAAATATAAGAATAAATTTAATGATAATGATAATTGATCTAAATTTACAAATAATAAAATATAGAAAAAATTGTAATGATTTAACAAGTAATAAGGACAATATCCTGAAGGGATAAAAGTCCAAAGGTTTAAATATGTAATAAAAATAAAATCTCTCTGATTAAATAATAAATAACTCTCTGATTAAATGTGTACACAAGGAACCCTACAAATGAGTTAAAAGGGAGGATTTAAGACCTCAACCTACTTAGTCTCTAAATATAATTAAGTATTATTTCACGAAAAAAATGATGGTGTTTTTATATTATTAAGTAAAAATACTATGATTAAACGTTCAAAACAAAAAATATTATATTTAAAAAAGTACAGCTAATAAATAAACTTAATCCAGGTTATCTACTATATTTTAAAGGGAGATAATTCCCGCTGATTTCTTAAAAATTGTTCGGTAATCAGAAGGTCAGATCTGGACCTCTGCGGAGCAGCTACGGCAAAAAAACAGGCCTGGAACCAGGTGTAACCGGACTAGGTTTCAACTTAATCTTTCTTATTAAAAAAAAAATATTCCAAAAAAAACAAAACAAATTTTTCCTCGACTTCTGCTTGACTCCCAAAGGTAGGCTAAAAAAACATTTGTTTTAGAGTTTTTTCTTATTCTTGAGACAGAGTAGGGAAAAACACAAGGTTTATGAACCTTGAAAGGTTTTATAAAGGTTACTTATGAAGTGTGAAAGCAAAAAAAACTTAATGGTTTTGTAATTAATGTGACCGTCGTATGGTTTGACAATATTTCAAGTAAAATGGATTAATTATATCGACAATTTTAACGAAAAGCATGATATGGATAATAATATATTTTATAATATAAAGAACAGTATAAGACATATTTTTAACGACACTCTTAATAGCAATTTTAACGATAGATAATTATGTTTTTAAGGTCGGGAAGTAAAATTAAAATACATATGATTTTATATCAATTAACACTTTCGATTTAGATGTTGAATATTTCTTAATGAAATGATGGAAAGCAGTTCAGATAAACATATCGAATCAACTGAAACGTGACAATACAGGATCTCAAAATTTCTGATGGGTTTTATTATTTCAGTTTATTATAAATTATTTATTGATATTTATAAATTTACCGGATCAAGCTGG